CTGCAGCTCATTGATGTGCTGTCAGCGACAGATGAACTCCTTCCTCAGATCCGTTCCTCGGACACACAAAGACCATTTGTAAAGGTCTACACATTATAAATGTACACATTAGTTCATTTTAAGCTGCGGTCATGCTGGACTTTTCTCCCCATAGACTTCTATTCATACACGCGAATGCGTCAAATTCAGAGCCGGCGCGTCCATAGAGGTGACCTAGGCGGCTGCCTAGGCCGGCAGAATAGAGAGGGCGGCGTCCCGACTCTACCCTCACCACTCGCTCCCTCAGTTATATCCGCGACTAAGAAAGGGCAGTGTCCGCGACTCTACCCTCACCACCTGCACCCTCAGTTATATCCACGACTAAGAGAGGGCAGTGTCCGCGACACTACCCTCACCACTCGCCCCCTCAGTTATATCCGTGACTAAGAGAGGGCAATGTCCGTGACTCTACCCTCACCACCCGGGCCCTCTGTTATATCCGCGACTAAGAAAGGACAGTGTCCGCGACACTACCCTCACCACTCGTGCCCTCAGTTATATCCGCTACTAAGAGAGGGCTGTGTCCGCGACACTACCCTCACCACCTGCACCCTTAGTTATATCCGCGACTTAGAGAGGGCAGTGTCCATGACACTACCCTCACCACTCGCCCCCTCAGTTATATCTGTGACTAAGAAAGGGCAGTGTCCTTGACTCTACCCTCACCATTCGCGCCCTCGGTTATATCCGCGGCTAAGAGAGGGCAGTGTCCGCGACTCTACCCTCACCACTCGTGCCCTCAGTTATATCCGCGACTAAGAGAGGGTAGTGTCCGTGACTCTACCCTCACCACCCGCGCCCTCAGTTATATCCGCGACTAAGAAAGGACAGTGTCCGTGACTCTACCCTCACCATTTGCGCCCTCGGTTATATCCGCGACTAAGAGAGGGCAGTGTCCGCGACACTACCCTCACCACTCGCCCCCTCAGTTATATCTGTGACTAAGAGAGGGCAATGTCCGTGACTCTACCCTCACCACCCGGGCCCTCTGTTATATCCGCGACTAAGAAAGGACAGTGTCCGCGACACTACCCTCACCACTCGTGCCCTCAGTTATATCCGCTACTAAGAGAGGGCCGTGTCCGCGACACTACCCTCACCACCTGCACCCTTAGTTATATCCGCGGCTAAGAGAGGGCAGTGTCCGCGACTCTACCCTCACCACTCGTGCCCTCAGTTATATCGGCGACTAAGAGAGGGTAGTGTCCGTGACTCTACCCTCACCACCCGCGCCCTCAGTTATATCCGCGACTAAGAAAGGACAGTGTCCGTGACTCTACCCTCACCATTTGCGCCCTCGGTTATATCCGCGACTAAGAGAGGGCAGTGTCCGCGACACTACCCTCACCACTCGAGCCCTCAGTTATATCCGCGTCTTAGAGAGGGCAGTGTCCGCGACTCTACCCTCACCACTCGTGCCCTCAGTTATATCCGCGACTAAGAGAGGGCAGTGTCCGCGACTCTACCCTCACCACTCGTGCCCTCAGTTATATCCATGACTAAGAGAGGGCAGTGTCCGCGACTCTACCCTCACCACTCGTGCCCTCAGTTATATCCATGACTAAGAGAGGGCAGTGTCCGCGAAACTACCCTCACCACTCGCACCCTCAGTTAGGCTATATCTGCGTCTAGGGCAGCAGAATAGAGAGGGTTGAGGGCGGCCTGATCGTTCTTTGCCTAGCGCGGCAGTTTAAGCTTGCTCCGGCCCTGGTCAGACTGGAAACGCAAGATCAAGTTTCGCAGTTCACTGCATTGGAAAGTTCAAGCTTGGTGAACTCTGACCTGTGAAATCGCATTACTTGACTGCGTGAGACCAATCAAAGATCAAAACAGAACATGGACAGAAATGTAAAACATGGAGCAATCACTTGCTTTTTTTTGTCATGGAATTTTTATTCTTGCAAACAGCATTTTACATTTACAACAACCCACAAAACAATCCCCAAATAAGACCATCAACAGAAATGGATGAAATGAAACTAAATCTTTGAGGCACAGTGAAATAGAGGGGTGTTGTGGGGAGGTCCAAGACAACAGTATTCTGCACCTAAAGAAGAGATGCCAAAGCCACAATGTCAGCGTGTCTCCGGTTTACAGGATGACACTGAGAGGAAACACCAAAGATCTGACTAACGGCTAACTGGACCCCCAGAATATCACAAACCATTTTAAAGAAAGTAATCCAGTAGTTTTGCAACTTGGGACAAAATACAAACATAAGACAAGGCCTACACGGAGTCTGCACGAGCAGATTTCAGCAGATTTTCCACCCGACATTAATTCTGTTTTTTTACTCGAGTAAATGTGTGTAAATCTATCTTCAGTTTTTAAATTAATTCCAGTAATATCATTGACTAAAATGTTCATCTGATTTATGTACAATACAGTGTGTGCAGTCATGGTTTCTGTCTTTCAGTAGAGATATTATATGAGACTTGCTGTATTTAACAAATACAGTGAATCTAATTGGAACTCATTTTTAACAAAGTGAAACCAGAAAAGATTTTAGACTTTGTATCATGCATCAACACTAAAAATCCTATTTAATGTATGTATTCATTTGTTTGTTGATTTTAAATAGTTTAGTTATTGTTGAAAGGTTCCGGCCATGAAAATAGCCTCGGTTGCTAAAATGGCATTAAATAACAATACATTACATTACATTACAGAATCTAATTGAATTTGCATTTTAAACATTAAATAAAAGATAAAAGGATATTATTTTTTATTTCACATATTAAGGTTTTAGTATGATACTGCCCAAAATATTTCAGCATGATATCCGCAGATTTATACCAAAATTCTCAGCAGAAAGAGCAAAAAACGTCTGCAGATTCCGTCTGACCCTAAGATTGCCTGGTTTACATTTATCACACATATCTGAAATATGGGCATATATTTTAGAAGGTTTGGCCTTTGAGAGATGAGCTCTGTGAATTATTTTAAGTTGTAGAAGACTGAGTCCAGCGCATGGTGGAGGTGCGCACATTGCCCAATGCTGCACTCCAGTAGTCATCCTCAAACTGTACGCCCAGTTCCTCTTCCCAGGCCCTGATAGCTTTAATGTTCTCACTCGCTTTTTTATACGTCTAATCATCTTGTTTGATTCCGTCTCTTTTCGCAGCGTCATATGACAGAATTTCGAGTGTGACCGCAGCTGAATTGTGTGTGTGTGTGAGATGCAGTTTGAGAGAGATGCCTCTACAATATCTGGCGTGTTCTGCTGTGGTTTGCAGCTCTTTATATGATGCACTCCTGTGTTTGTCCACAAACATGGCTGAACACATCTTCCCATGACGTAGATTCCTGAGCTCTGTTCGCAAACTTGACATACTAAATAGTTTTCGGAAATAGAATGAATGTGTCCCAAATGTAGTGTGTTGATGAGAGAGAGGTTTCCAGTGGTAGATGTTGAAAGTGTAGAAGCGTCCGGACTCAAACCGCTGATATTGAACAACACTTAAATGTGAATTTGATTAGAACTACAAACTTGGGTATTGAGTGTAAACAAACTACAAACATGGCGGATGCACGAGGCCAATGGGCTATAGTTAGTGTTTTTAAGCCAATGAGGAGCTTCATCTGAGAGCTTTATATGACTATTTTCAGGTTCATACGTTTCCTTTTACAGCACTGATGTTGTAATGTAACTCAAATATAATCAGTTAAATAGACGTCAGCATTCATTTGGTTGTTAGAGAGTAAAAAGAGAGGAAAGACTGTTTAACCATTGGCTGCAGGCCAGCGCAAAAACTCCATTGAAAACACTGTGGTAAAATAACTGCATCTGTTGTGCAGACATGGCACAGAAAAATATAACTGAATGCAGAGCTTCTGTGGTCTGAAACCCACTTTATAGCATATCTCAGCCAGGCAGTGAAGATGGCTGCTTAATCAGATCTTAAACGCTGTGATTCTGTATGGGATAACACTTCACCTGAAGCCCTGAGGCTGGCCGGCTGAAATGAAGCGTCTGTGTGCATATACTGTAGCCCATTGTCAAGTAGAGAAGCTCGGGCAAAATGAAGGGCTATTAATTAATATCTAGCATACGGGTGAATATTTAAATCATGTTTCCTGTCTTATATTTCACCTGCAGCATCACTGTCAACGTCTGTAGAGACGTGTTTGATCATTGACTTCTGAACGCAGAGTTTCTCTGCATGACAGACCCCTCGATGGCAGATTCACCTGCTGCTGCTGCATCTACAGTATTGTAGATTATTAAATATGACAGAAGTGTGGATGATGTGTGGAGATGATTGACAGCTCTCGTAACTGCAACATAACAATCCACTAATGAGGAAAGAGTTTGTCCCAAAGCTCACACACTCTTCTGTTGCACACTCAGAAGTATGCACTTTTTCTTCACAAATACAGTGCACACATTTAGGACACACTGTAAGTGTGCGAACTTCACTACACACTCTAGAGCGTTTGTTTTTCAGGAGAAAGTCTTGTTTTATTTGGGCTAGAGTAAAAGCAATTTTTATTTTTTTAACACAATTTTAAGCTCAATATTATTGGTCCCTTCAGGCTGTATATTTCTCATTAGTCTCCAGAACAAACCACTGTTATACAATGACTTGCCTAATTACCCTAACTTTACCCTAATTACCCTAGTGAAGCCTTTACATGTCTCTTTAAGCTGTATAGAAGTGTCTTGAAGAATATCTAGTCTAATATTATGTGCTGTCATCATGACAAAGAGGAAATACATCAGTGATTAGAGATGAGTTATGAACACTATTATGATTAGAGATGTGTTGGAGAAATCTGCTCTCTGATAAACAGAAATTGGGGGAAAAATAAACACGGGGTGAATAACTCTGACTTCAGCTGTATATTCCCAGTGGCTCTTTATAAAAATGCATTTGCCAAAAAAAAAATATTCTGCAACGGCTCTTTGCTGAAAACAGGTTGTCGACCCCTGCTCTAGAGAGTTCAGAGGCTCGGGGGCAGAACAGATCTGCTTTAAAGCTTTTGCCAGAGGCTTTTATCTAAAATAACCCTGAATAAACAAATCTCCAAATGCACATTTACCCCCCAATGCATCAGAAATGAGGAGGATTCCCCAGGTTCAGCAGGAATGGTGTCACACAGTAAGCATGATCACTGACTCTTTCATTATATTGCACTGAGTGCAGCTCAGGAGTGTTGATCCACCTCTGACCAATATAAGATGACAAACTCTGAAACTGCCGTCACCATCAGTCAGTCAGTCAGTCAGTCATTCTCCTTTGGCCTAGACCCTTGAATGAACCGCCAACTATTCCAGCATATGTTTGACACAGCGGATGCCCATCCAGCTGCAACCCAGTGCTGGGAAACACCAAACACACTCATTCACACGCACACACTCATACACTACGGCCAGTGTAGTTGATCAGTTCCCCTATAGTGCATGTGTTTAGACTGTGGGGGAAACCAGAGGAAACCCACGCCAACACGGTGAGAACATGCAAACTCCACACAGAAACACCTACTGACCCAGCCGAGACTTAAACCAGAGACCTTCTTGCTGTGAGGCCACAGTGCGACACCACTGTGCCACTGGTGTTAACAGGCTGTTAATAATGCATCAGGACATGCTGAACTGTCATTACTAATGCTGCAGCTGTACTCTTCATAGTAAATACATGAACTAATGAAAGCTTATGAGAGAGTGACGCAGATCACACTGACGCGCTCAGTTCCTCAACATGTGCTAATGATCATTAAATCTGTGTGTGTTTTACCTCCGAAACATCCAGCAGCGAAGTCCAGAGCCATTCCTGAGATGAAGGAGAAGAGTGTGTGTGCGCACTGCTGTTAGTGTGTGCGCGCACAGTTGTGTGTGTGCGCGTGCTAGAATGTGTGTGCTCTAGTGTGTGAGTGTGCTGGCTAGTGTGTGTGTGCACTCGAATGGGTGTCTGGGCTAGTGTGTGTGTGCTAGTGTGAGTGTCCAGGCTAGTGTGTGTGCACGTGTGTGTGTGTGTGTGTGTGGTCATGAGCAGCTGCTGTCCACTGGCCGACTGACGGCTATTTTTACTGAATGAAGCTGATATGAAGGGGAAAGTCCATCAGTGACCAATAGAAGCTGCAGGACGAAGAAACGCCCCTTCATCATCATCATCATCATCATCGCAGACAGGCAATATTACACTCTTTCATATTTATTTATTTAATAACTCATCTCTAATAGCTGATGTGTTCCTCTTCTCCATGATGACAGCACAGAATATTAGACTAGATATTCTTCAAGACACTAGTGTTCAGCTGAACGTGACATGTAAAGGGGATAATAATATTGACGAAATAAAACCAAAAAGACTTTCTCCAGAAGAACAAATATTAGAGGAAATACTGTGAACATTTCCTGAAATGATACAGACCTTTAAAAATCTATGCAACTAAATAGTTTTGAACAGTTTTGTTTCTGTGTATCGCATATCCATTATATCCAGCTGAAAGCAGGAGTTTACATTCGCTGTATAAAGGCACATCAGCATTTAAACACAGTCAGATGTTAATGTGAGTAAACTGTTTCTCTTTTAGGTAAGTGAGGATGATCACGTGTGTTTCTGTTCTGCTTAACAGCAGAATAATGAGAGAGATATTGTTTGAGAAATTGTTCTAACTCTTCTTGAAAGTCAAGTTTACACACAGTAAGATTATTCTGCCTCTGTAAAGCTCAGATGATGATGTCAGGGTTTTGGAGGTTTCTGATTGGCTGATTGACAACATTTGAGTTAATGTGAGGCACAACTGTAGAATAGTGTTGAAGGAAAAGCTCAAACACACTGCTTCCCTGTGTGACAACATGAAAAAATCAACAAGCCAGAATCAACAACAAAGCCAGATTACCATTAGCTGAATGACACTGGGAAACTAATGTTTGGAGGCATGTGCTGTGCTCTGATGGATCTGAGGCCCCGTTTACACTAATGCGTTTTCGTTTTAAAATGCATAAGTTTTGCTACAGTTACGCCATCCATCCACACTACGCCGGAGTTCTCGAGCGCCCAAAACAGAGTGTTTCGAAAACGCTGGAGAGGCCGACAGCTGCGCCTTCAGCAGACCTCCTTATTCCTGCAGCATGAGGGCTTTATGACTGTTTATGAGCACCAAAAGTGGCGGATCTGTTCGGTGAAATATCTGACTGCGTATCCCCGCATCCCTAAGGACTATTTGGCGAAATATTTGACTGCATGTCTCTGCATAACAAACCACTGACACAATATAACTAGAGCAATCCCCACTGTGCTGAGCGAGAGCGCTCACTGAACAGCGCAGCAGCGATGACGTAAGCGTGCCCAGGCCCGATTGTAGTGTGAGTGCGGGCCGTCAGGGGAGACGGGAGGGGGCACAAGCGTGCTTTGGCCCAGTTCGAGGCAACTGTACCTAGTGTGAGTACGGCCTTCCAGACAGACCATGACTCTAAGCACACTGTCAAATTAGTTCAAATGTGCTTTAAGGACAACAGAGTGAATGTTTTGGAGTGGCCATCACAAAGACCTGATCTCAATCCTATAGAGAATGTGTGGGCAAAGTTGAAGAAGCTTGTGCGAGCAAGACAGCCAACAAATCTGACTCAGTTACAGCAATTCTGCAGGAGGAATGAGCCAAAACTCCTGCAAACTATTGTGAGAAGCTTGTGGAAGGAGACCCAAAACATCTGACCACAGTTACACAGTTTAAAAGCAAAGCTAAACAATACCAAGGAAATGTGTGTAAACTTTTGACTGTCTAGAAATTAATAAACAATTCTCTCATTATTCTGGCATTTAGCAAATGTAAATCATTTAGGGAATCCTGACAGACCTAAAATAGTAAACGTTTAGTGTGATTATAAAACATGGTTATGCTCCTTTATTAGAGTGTATGTACACTTCTGCTTTCAGCTGTATATGAAATACACTTACACATATTATGTCAAAACAAACTTTTATTTTGATCGCGATTAGTCTTTGCCCAGTTTAATTATTTCAGCAAGAGACAGTGGACATTAATTAACAGTCTGCAAGTATGTAAATCACCCAAATTACAGCCCAAAGGAGAGTTTTCATTGGTTGCCCCTTTGTCAGATGTTAAAGACATATAAACCAATAAAAATACAAATAAATTTGGCATAAACCTAACAAAACATCTACACTGTTAAAACACTGTTAATGAACAGTTTGTGAATGGAGTTTGCATGTTCTCCCCTTGTTGGCGTCGGTTTCCCCCACAGTCCAAACACATGCGCTATAGGGGAACTGATCAACTACACTGACCGTAGTGTGTGTGTGTGTGTGTGGGTGTTTCCCAGTACTGGGTTTCAGCTGTAAGTAAGGGCATCCGTGTGTAAAACATATGCTGAAATAGTTGACGGTTCATTCCGCTGTGGCGATCCTTGATAAATAAGGCATTAAGCTGATAGAAAATGACTGAATGTTATTTTAATCCCGCATTACATGTTCATATTCAATGTAATGTGGAATTGTTTGTAATTTAACAGTACGGTTTAAATGATATTGTTACAATATAAATCGTTAATAAAAAACGATAATTTGTGATCAAAATCATTTCTTAAGGGGGCTTATATTATTGGCCACAGCAGTTTTTACTTTATTTATTTCAGCCAAACTACAGACTTTCTTCAGAAGATTAATATAATATAGATACAGTGGGGAAAACAGATTGAATCTGCCAATACTTTCCTCTTCAGCTGCTATATTCTACATTTAACCCTAAACCCAGTCATGCCAGTAATGTAGGAACAGGAATTATAG